TTACAACAACAACCAGGGCAGTAGCAGCTTATAAGATTGGCCTGGTCTGGCCAGATGCCCTTGATGCCATGCCTCTACTGAACCACTGCAATAGGAGTATTTTATTGCCTTCCACTAAGGAGAGATCAACAGTTGAAAGCAGCAGACTGACTGGTTTCTTTCTGAATATTGTTTTATTATGTTAAACATTTTCTTTTAAGTCTGTGATTAAATTGTTGTACAGTACCATGCCACTACGTTTAAGTAAACTACATTTTCAACTGTTCAGAGTGTCTCTATCATGTGTCTAAGAAGGGTCTAGGAGACTTCTTAGTGGGAGATTAAAACTTCCCTCTTCCCCCATACTGTGGCAATGGCATCATGTCACCTATGGAAACTATTGGGAGCCACTTAGTACGACTGGCAAGAGAGGCCACCAACAGGGACTTCTCCATGTCCATGCCCCTCTAAAGGAAGGATGGTCCAGTAGTTAGGGCACAAGTCTAGGACTTGGGAGACCTGGATTCAATTCCCTGCTCTGCACCAGACTTCATGTGAGAGGTTGATCTCACAGGTGCTTAGGATCTCTATGAATCAGTTACCCATCTGTAAACCTTATGGGGTGTTGTTAGGATAAATACAGTGAAGAGCGTGAAGTGCTCAGATATTAGAATAATGGAGGCTTGATAACGTACCTAAGCCCTGGTCTACACTACGAGTATAGGTCGAATTTAGCAGCATCAGATCGATTTAACTCTGCACACGACGAAGCCATTTTTGTCAATTTAAAGGGCTCTTAAAATCAATTTCTGTACTCCTCCCCGCTGAGAGGATTAGCGCTGAAATCGACCTTGCTGGGTCGAATTTGGGGTAGTGTGGACGCAATTCGATGGTATTGGCCTCCGGGAGCTATCCCAGAGTGCTCCCTTGTGACCACTCTGGACAGCACTCTCAACTCAGATGCACTGGCCAGATAGACAGGAAAAGCCCGGTGAACATTAGAATTTTATTTCCTGTTTGGCCAGCGTGGCGAGCTCACGGGTGACCGTGCCGATCTCATCAGCAGAGGTGACCATGGAGTCCCAGAATCGCAAAAGAGCTCCAGCATGGACCGAACAGGAGGTACTGGATCTGGTCGCTGTATGGGGAGAGGAATCCGTGCTATCAGAACTCCACTCCACCCTAGAGGACTGCCCAAGCAACAGAAAGCTGGCATTCAATAAGGTTTGAAGTGCAGTGTGGCCTTGTCCTTCCCTCCTCCACCATCCCACCCGGTGCTTCCCTCCTCCCTCACCCCTGCTGGGCTACCTTGGCAGTTATCCCCCCCATTTGTGTGACGAATTAATAAAGAATGCATGAATTTGAAACGACTTTATTGCCTCTCCAAGCGGTGATCAAAGGGGAGAGGGGAGGACAGTTGGCTTACAGGGAAGTAGAGTGAACCAAGGGGGCGGGTTTTCATCAAGGAGAAACAAACAGAACTTTCACACCATAGTCTGGCCAGTCATGAAACTTGTTTTCAAAGCTTCTCTGATGTGCAGTGCGCCCTGCTGTGATCTTCTAACTACCCTGGTGTCTGGGTGTGCATAATCAGCGGCCACACGATTTGCCTCAACCTGCCATAAATGTCTCCCCCTTACTCTCACAGATATTGTGGAGCACTAGCAGTAATAACAACGGGAATATTGGTTTCACTGAGGTCTAACCGAGTCAGTAAACTGCACCAACATGCTTTTAAATGTCCAAATGCACATTCTACCACCATTCTGCACTTGCTCAGTCTATAGTTGAACTGCTCCTTACTACTGTCCAGGCTTCATGAGCCATGGGAGCAAGGGGTAGGTGCGACCGTGTGGTGCTGCCAGCTGGGAGAGCAGTTTGAGGCAGATGCCTCCAGCTCGCATGATATTCCAGGCAGGACTGAATCTGCATGAGATGAAACTTAAAGAAGAGAATGACCTGGAGTCACTCCCATTTATGTCACTGAGGTCTCCCAGGAGCACCCATGTCTGCCCACCCAGGAGATGACGACACCGGCTAGCAGTTGTACTGCACCATCTGCTGCTCCGAAGGCAAGGAGCTGCTGCTGTGTAGCAATGCAGTACCGCATCTGCCAGCAGCGCCCAGGAGACGTATGGTGACGGTGAGCTGAGTGGGCTCTATGCTTGCTGTGGTATGTCAGCTGCACGGGTAACCCAGGAAAAAAGGCGAGAAACGATTGTTTGCCGTTGCTTGCATGGGGCGGGGGGTGGAGGCGGCGGGGCCTGATGACATGTACCTCAAACCACCTATGACAATGTTTTTGCCCCATCAGGCATTGGGAGCTCAACCCAGAATTCCAATGGGCAGCGGAGACTGCGGGAACTGTGGGATAGCTACCCACAGTGCAATGCTCCGAAAGTCGACACTAGCCTCGGTACTGTTGACGCACTCTGCCGACTTAATGCGCTTAGTGGGGACACACACAATCGACTATATAAAATCCATTTCTAAAAAAATCGACTTCTATAAAAATCGACCTACTTTCGTAGTGTAGACATACCCTAAGATAAACACAGAGACCAGATCACAGCTGCCAGGAGCAGATGGGACAGACCAGATCCATCTGGACAGGCATTTGAGTTTGTGGAGAAAAAGGGGAGACCCCTCTTTAAGAGACCAACCTTGAGCTGTTTTATAAAATAACATTCATGCAGGAAGGTAAGTTGAGTGTATACCCAAACAGCTTCTTACTGAGACATTCGAGTGACAACACTATCCTCCTGAACAACCTGCAGGTCCAGAGGAGGGGACTGCAAAACCTGATGGGGGAACGGTATTGATGAAGACATTTAAAATTACAAAGCAGGGGAATATTTAAGTGATTAGAAACTATGTGTGCTATAGAAACACAGACATATAAGACCAGGAGTGTAAAGGAAAGACAGACATTTTCTGTTGGAGAATGGAGGAGGAGAGGCACATATTAAGAAAAAAATATAATTTCTGATTTTGAAGTTTGGGGTCATGTGAGGTTTTTGGAGTCACAAGAAGGTATCAGTTTGAAGAGTATCAAGCCAAAAGGTTTAGGATACGTCTGGAGAACTAGTAGCAGCATTAGTGCTACCATCTACAATGTTTTCCTTTCAAATAAAACTGTTTGGCTTATTGCCAAACAGCCAATTGTTTATTATCAATTATTTTATTTTATTGCCAAACATCTGTGGTTATATCTGAAGTGGCTGTAGGGTTAATATACCAATTGCTCTGTGCAGGGGGTAATCAAGTGGCCAACACATAGTCCCTTCATTTACAACACGGCAGAAAAATCATGTGACACATTATAAAAGGGATGTTCTATGATGTATATACACTTCTCCCAAGAGCATTATGTGACTGTTTTGAGGAAGCTTTTCTGCTTTTACACTGATTCTCAAGAATAATTATAAAGACAGCCTCCCTCTGCCAGTTTCAAATGTGTTAAGTTTTCAGAAGTTTTTTTTTTTAATTGAATCATGATTAATAATAGCCACAGGCTAGTCATACCAAAAAGGCAAGTTCTCACACTCTGTGATGATAAAGCATTTCATCAGTTTAGAGGAAAGAACTACTACCCACAGAGTTGCAACATCACATTATCCGTGCGTTGCTGAACTTTCAAAATCCCACAGTATCCCCAACAGTGATGTGTTACACAAAACAACATTAGAAGTCATTGAAGTGTCAGATAGTGATTTCATCGTGTGTCAGGCCTCCTACTAAAAAAATGATTCATCTTTTCAGTGCTGACACCTCAAAGAGTTATTAAGGAAGAAAAGAAATTCATAAACTTTAAATTGAGAAGTGTACTGATATTTTACTCCCAGATAAAGAAAGGTTTATGCAGGTAGCGAGAATGTAGTGGATTCCTCATAGTATTAACCCTTTGTTCTTTTAAAATGTAGTTCTAACTTTGAAAAGTGACTCTATAAAAGCAGCATCACGGGGTTTCATGTTTATTACATCTCAGTGGCTTCCAGATCAATTGTGCTCAATTTAGAAGTAAAGATATAGGTTTTTTTTAAAACCACCAGCCTTGAAACTCAAATTGGAATGGGAGAGTCAGGCTGTGTTTTCTGGTTTGTGCACTACTACCAGTAAAAGATTATGTAGGTCAAAGTAAGTTGGCCCTTACAATTCAACCATTGATTACAATCCAACCCACTGAAGACAATGGGAGCCTTACCACTGATTTTAATGGAAACTTGACTGGGAGAGAATTTGACCTCCTAATACGAATTACATAATCTTTCTTTGGTGTTGCATGAGCCAGAACAAAATGCATCTCACCTCCATCTCCCATTTAATACTAACGCTGCAGTGTTAACAGGACTAAAAAAATAAGCTTATTTTTGTCAGGAGAAAGGAGCCTGGATAAACACAGAGGAAAGATGTTTTTAACAGGATGGTACCATTTTTACATAGTCACTTTTTCTTATCATAACTGCAATTTACAGCTAAACTGATCACTCATTTATAAAATACTTTTAAAATTTAAATTAGGTCATGATATAATGTTATCATCTTTGGGGCCTAAGAGTGACACACATCAAGACAAGAATTTTATCCCAACTATTCCTTCTGCTGGAGGGAGAAAAATCAGGATAGAATAGTAAACTGCCTCCAACACTGGTCATGCTATCAGTAGAATAGATTGGGCTGGCCTGAAAACTGTAGCAAATGCAAGCCCCAAACCCACAGGGTCCAAAGAAGGCATTTATCTTACTTGTGCCTTGCTCTGAATATGAATTCCAGAGATAATACTGTGTTGAATTTAATAGTTGAAGAAAATAAAGTATAAAAGAAAATTACCTAAGTTCCTATCATAAACCTGTCTGTTCATATTGCATTCCTCCACACAATTTCAATAGTATTAATTCAGCCATCTTGAGTATAAATGAGGTCCAGTCTCTCCATCATTTCTGATTTAGCATGACCTCTTCACCTGGAGCAGTGGAATGTAAGATGTAATATAAGCCAATGAGGATTTGTATTTAGGAACATTTGCATGGCTTTAGGGTAGAATGAAAGGATGGTCAAAAAGAAAAGAAAACATCTAATGCTTAAAACACTTTACCATAAAATCATACTCTCTTTTCCCCATGTTAAATCAGGTAGAAAAGTATGATAACATTAAAGCTTGATCTAATTTAAATAATTTATTTTCTTGCAAATACTACAACAATCATTACATGCATCATTTGCCCCCTCCCCTGCCCAGTCTTAAATTATACTCCATTATATCTAGGCATGAAAAAATATGCATAAATGTTTATTAAATATGAGAATTTTTGTTTTTAACTACATTAAAAGGTAAAATGTTATTTTGCAACAGTTGGTAAAAACTGCTCTGAAATCATTATGGGAGTTTGCACAACAAACAGAATTCTCATGAAGATTTTCCTTTATAGGCTACCTGCAACATTTTGTTGTACATTTAGGACTTATGATATTCTAAGTCTCTACGATGTTCCAGACAGCAAAGAAACTGACATGTACAGAGTATTACATTGTTCTTGCAATTGTTTACAAACATACAATCCAATGACATATCAGGCCTCCTTTACATAGGACAACTATACTTTCATAATCAGTTCATGTCACTTTTATCTGACCCAATCACAAAATACATGGCTGATGTGTATTCACACAAGCAGGGATAATTATCACAGCCATGTATATCTATGTTTATTCTTACACATGTACCATGCAGCCAGAACCAGTTTGTATCAGCGCCGTCTAGTAAAATTTGGCTCAGCAGAGGATATAGTGGCTGGAAGACATGCATACACACCTGAAGCATGTGGGACAATGAATCATGAGATGCCCCTCCTGAACAGTTCTCTGAGAAGAAAAAGGAGAAGAAAAACTGGTTACAGAGGCATGAATAAGGGGTTCCATCTACAATGCCAAAAACCCGCCCCCCAAAACCACAATGCACCAAATTGGTTACCAGATGACTACCATGTACTAATCTGGGCCACTAGCAAGGGTGAATCACAGACAGCTGCCAAAGTAACTAACCAAGTATTAATCACATTGCGTGTGGAGAGAAGCTGCTTTTTAGGGCTTGTCTGCACTGGCAATTTACAGCGCTGCAACTGTCTCGCTCAGGGGTGTGGAAAAAAAGAGCTCTCTCCCAGCGCTGCGCCGCAACCACACAAGCCACGTTAAAGCACTGCCACGGCATACACACCTGCCACGGCAGCGCTTTAGTGTTGCCAGTGTAGACTAGCCCTTAGAATCAACCATGATATTAACTGGTTACAAATCCAGTTAAATGCTTTTGTGAAGAAAAGTCCCTAACGTTCAGTTCCTATTGTAGATACATCACATTCCACATACAGGATTTCAAAATCTTTGCTACTCTATTTGTGGGACAGCATCAGGTAGTATACACTTTCTCCTCTACAATCAATGATATTTCTGTTCAGAAAACAATGACTCCTTGAAGCAGGCAAAGTTAACTGTGCTATTAAGATTGACCAGTCTCCCTTCTCAGGATGTTAACAAACAAAGGAAAAGCAGTGATGATACTTTAGGTTCTTTGCCAGACTGTGTAGAGGATTCCAATATTTAACATGTCTCCACATTCACACAATTCCCTACAGGAATACTAGACCCTTTTGGAGGGGATAGTTCAAGTTTCAGATTAAGATTTATTATTTGTATTGTAGTGGTGCAAAGAAAGCAGGACCCCACTGTACTAGGCACCGTACAAACATAGAACAAAGAGATGGTCCCAGGCCTGGAAGCCTTACAATCTAAATTAGCTGATCTTGATTTTAAAAACCATTCTCCATGGTATGCAAGCTGAGTCATTTCATGGCACGGATAGGTAAACTGACATATTACGGTTACGATCACATATATTATTACTGGATATATAACTAGGTTACAAGGACAGGTATTTTTAAAATTTAAATGTCATAGTGGAAAGTAGGGTTTTTAATATGAGTTTCAAGATGACTTTTTAAATTAAAAATAACAAATATTTGTTCCATAAAACATGGCTCTGGAGCAAATGCTGTGCCAACCTGCTCTCAGTTGCAGAGGACTCCGACTACAGCAGAACTGATGCAGTTCCACTGAACAGAGGAAGAGGTAGAATGCCAGGAGTCTGCATATGGGCCTGCAGAGCTGTGCATTTAAAGCAACCCCAAATCAAGAATAATCTGATCAGTATGCTACACTCATCTCTTCATGCTAAGAAGACTTGAAAAAACAAGTTTCTATTGTGAACTGTTATCCATCTACAGACTTAAAACAAAACAATTTTTAAAAATGGGACTACTCTTATGCTGCATTCCCCAAAAGACAATAGTAGAGAACCATTGTCACAGGCCTCAGAGAGAGAGCAAGCAATCTATTCTAGTGGCCAAAGTAAAGAGGAGGGATGGAGTTTGCTGTTGGGCAGAAAGGAGCTGGAACCACTGTAGCCCATTAATGTGGCCTTGAAAGAAAGCAAACAGCATCTTTCAAAGGTAACTATTTGTTCGTAGACTGGACAGCAGAAGGCATCATGTAAGCTGGCTGGCAACCTTTACTAAGGTACTGAGTACAGTGCCTTTTTGGCACATTATGTCTGCATCAGTGAAGGAAGCAAAAATGAAACTGTACCCAAATCCCTCAGAACGTTATAATTGTTCTGCTGTCACTTTGCTGTGCTGGCCTTCTCTCTTTTAATTTTCATTTGGCTTTCATTGCTACCTTCTTGTGCCCAATATCATATTCTACACCACTTGACAATGAAGATTCAATTTTATTTTAAAAAGGATCTCTCTGTGCCAGCCTATATTTTACAATCAGTGAACAAGCTCTAGAAAGCAAGGTTCCTAAAATATCCAGACTTTTATGTTTTCACCCTCTCTTCAGTAAAGCATTTCAGAAAATAAGTCCTACCGATTCTCCTAAAACTTAAAACTGCTAACCTGAATATCTTGATAGGAGCAGACAATGTCCTCAGAAGCAGCTGGCCTCTCAACTTAGCTTCTGACACTGAGGAACTGCATCAGCATCAACTGTGTTTTAATACCTTAACGTGACAGAAGAAATAACATGAGTTGAACAAAAATTATAGCGCGATTTCTAACAAAATAAATTTGAGTGCATTATCGACAGACATCTTAGAAACCATACATACAAGTGGATAGCATTCACAAAGGCTCTTAAGCAAAGTAAGTAGTCATGGGATAAGAGGGAAGGTTCTCTCATGGATTGGTAACTGGTTAAAAGATAGGAAACAAAGGGTAGGAATGGCCAATTTTCAGAATGGAGAGAGATAAATAATGGTGTCCACCAGGTGTCTGTACTGGGCCCAGTCCTATTTAACATATTCATAGATGATCCGGAAAAAGAGGTAAACAGTGAGGTGGCAAAATTTGCAGATGATACAAAATTACTCAAGATAGTTAAGTCCCAGGCAAACTGCGAAGAGCTACAAAAGGATCTCTCAAAACTGGTTGACTGGGCAACAAAATGGCAGATGAAATTCAGTGTTGATAAATGCAAAGTAATGCACACTGGAAAACATAATCCCAACTATACATATAAAATCATGGGGTCTAAATTAGTTGTTACCACTCAGAAAGAGATCATGGAGTCATTGTGGATAGTTCTCTGAAAACATCCACTCAATGTGCAGCGGCAGTCAAAAAAGCAAACAGAATGTTGGGAGTTATTAAGAAAGGGATAGATAAGAAGACAGAAAATATCATATTGCCTCTATATAAATTCATGGTACGCCCACATCTTGAATACTGCGTGCAGGGTCACCCCATCTCAAAAGAGATATATTGGACTTGGAAAAGATTCAGAAAAGGGCAACAAAAATGATTAGGGGTATGGAACGGCTGCCATATAAGGAGAGATTAATAAGACTGGGGCTTTTCAGCTTGGAAAAGAGGCGACTAAGGGGGATATGATAGAGGTCTATAAAATCATGACCGGTGTGGAGAAAGTAAATAAGGAAGTATCATTTACTCCTTCTCATAACACAAGAACTAGCATCCACCAAATGAAATTAATAGTCAACAGGTTTAAAATAAACAAAAAGAAGTATTTTTTCACACAACGCAGTCAACCTGTGGAACTCCTTGCCAGAGGATGTTGTGAAGGCCAAGACTATAACAGGGTTCAAAAAAGAACTAGAGAAATTTATGGAGAATAGGTCCATCAATGGCTATTAGCCAGGATGGGCATGGATGGTGTCCTTGGCCTCTGTTTCCCAGAAGCTGGGAATGGGCGACAGTGATGGATCACTTGATGATTACCTGTTCTGTTCATTCCTTCTGGGGCACATGGCATTGGCCGCTGTCGGAAGACAGGATACTGGGCTAGATGGAGCTTTGGTCTGACCCAGTATGGCTGTTCTTATGTAAGCCAGTAGATTTAAGAGTTTGGTTAATGTAATGGAAGCAGCCATTGGTATGTATTATAATCAGGTATCAGAGACAAAAGTTAAACTTACACCCAAGTTTATGGACCACAGGAGCCAAGAACATATTAACAAGACCAATGATTTCCTTACATCATTTACATGTAGACCCTGATCCCTACCTATCAATTCCCAACTTAATGTCTTGATCCTGTTAGGTGTTGAACTCCCTCAATTCCCAATGAAGTTAATGGGAGCTGAGGGTGTTCGGCACCTGGCAGTATCAGGCCTTAAATGAGCAACTGACACAAACAATCAGTTGTTTGGCAAACCTCACGATGACTAAAAACCATTTGTTCCTTTTGGTCTTTTCAACAGAAGCCCCCACAATCTGAGTGTACAGGCTTATATTTGTTTATAAAATTGATTGTTTATTAAAAAGCTTCATAGCCTCCACTGCAGTAGGTATTAATTACAGCCTATTGCACAT